TCGACTTTATCATCACTACATTACTGTGACATCACTAACTTTTGGAGATGATGCCATGTGGCATGACAAGATCCCACTTCTGGCTTTCGACAATCAATTCATCCTTCGCCTGATGCTTGCTGTTTCTGCTCTCCATTTAGCGCGGCTTCAAGCCCTGGAAGCGACCAAGTATGAGAAATTGGCCGAGCACCATCACTCCAAAGCTCTGTCTCATGTCACCAATCTTCTTCCTCAAATCAATCACCAAAATTGCTCCGCATTGTACATTGCCACTGTGCTCATTTGCAACTATGCCTTTGCAAAGCCACCTAAAAAAGGCCACCTTCTTGTTCCGTTTGATGGCACTGAAACCGCTTGGTGGAATCTCTTCCGCGGCGTTCGCTTTGTCATCGAGACTATGGGTTTGACAGCCATTTTCTCAGGTCCGATTGGCCCCTTTCCACCGAAAGCCTCCTCAGCCATACCACCGCCCGTGGGTAGAGCTGGATATATCGCTTGGGAAAAGCCTCTCGCCGACTTGAGAACGATGATTCACGACTCTCAAACCCCAAGGCTTCCAGATCTACTGGAACTTTATGAGGCTCTCGTATGCTGTTTTAGTGGTGTTTTTGGAACTGCTCATGAGCCTCAAAACGTTACGCATGGGAAAACGCATATCGTCATGCGGTGGGTATGGTTCTTGGAAGATGACTTTACAAAGCAGGTCGAGAAACTGAATCCTCAGGTTCTAGTTTTACTAGCTTACTTCTCAGTACTGGTTCAGACGCTGGAATGCTTTTGGTATATGAGAGGATGGGGTTGGCGTATTTTAGAAAGCATCACGGAGCAGCTTGACCCAGACTATACAGCATGGATTACCTGGCCACGGGATCAGTTGGAACTGGGTTGCCCAAATGGTTTATCTAGCTTGGACTGATATCCATTTGATCTTGGCGTTGATTCTATATGGGATGGTCAAGGTATCGGCCTGGTCAGTTTCCTTCTATATTTAGACCACTTTGTTTATTAGTAGCACCGACAGTTGGATCCCACGCAGCGTTGCAAAGGAGCTGAGCCTGTACTGATCTATCCCAGGATTCTCGGGACATCTCCATGTATTGAGGATATCGCACCATTGATCAGCTAGTCGCAGTCGTGGTCAAAAACGCTCGTGTCAGATCGTCAGGTAGAGACCCTGCAGCACATTCATTTTGCAATCTTCATTGCGCCTATAGCCCCATGCTGTGTATGGATATACTTCTCCAAGCCATATTTGTTGATGAAGTTGGCGAAGGAGTCCAATATCCTAGTCAAGGATGTGTAATTTGCAGACCGGTAAAGATTCAGGTCAAAAGATCAACAACAGCTCGCCGGGCCTTTAAACATGTTGTAAATTGAGCGAATAGGCAAACTCCATGCTATGTCATGCTATTGAATTGCCGCTTAAACCAAGCAATAGCCTGTTCTTCGGCTTCCTCTGCCTGTCGCGTCTCTTTCGAATCTGGCTTCGCCCTGCTTGCACGAATTGAAAACCCGTGCTTTGCTCCAGGGTAAATAACCACGTTTGTATCGACATCCTTGCTCTCCAAGATTGATTCAGCTTGCCGCACTTGCTTCATTCCCATCACGGGATCATCGTCGCAAATTGCAATAGAGAGAGGACGTGCGACGTTGCCTATGTCCTGGACGACATCGACGCTACTTGGATGGGCAGTGAAAAACGCATTTGCCAGTGCATGACCACTAGCTGTCTTCGTTTCCGCCGTGTCGTGGGTGAGTCTAACAGTGTGTAGCCCACCCCAGCAGAAGCCGGCAATTCCAACAGGAAGAGCTGCGTCTTTATGCCGCTGGACTTCTTTCAAGAACCCAGTCACCCTTGGCCAACAGACACTGAAGCGGTTGCGAATAAGAAATGGCACAAAGTCAAGCATAGTAGCAACAAGATAGTACCTAGTTAGTGATCAGCCAAGTAATTTATATTTTCGACCTTGGGGCGGGAGCTTACGGTTTGAGCAACCAAGATCCGGTCTCATCCCAAAGGTGCGCCATGTTGATCATCGTCCTGACTGGAGCCGCCTTGCCTGTTACCAACGGTGTAAGTTATCTTGCTTTTGCGTGCTTGGAACCAATGGCTGGCTCACCATTCATGAAGTCGGGCAGGTAGACCAGATAGTCTGCAGCTGAAGCATAATGATCCGCGAGAATCTGATTATTGACAAAGTCAACACCGAACGCGTCAGGAATTATGACAATGATAGCTTTCGGACTCTTGCCAGCAGGGGGTTCTGCAATATAGGTCCGAAGGCCATGAATGGTATCCCAACGACCAGTTGGAGTGCCTGGGTTGATATGACCAGAAAAGCACCGAGGGCATGACATGATGTCTCTATCTTTGAGGGATGTGTGACAAACCGCACTCTGAAGATGATTCGGGACTGAACAGTGGTCAATCTATTGAACACTGGATCAAGTGCATACTTTTATAGCCAGATATGTCGATGCAGCTGGATCAACTACCAGTACGTACCGGCAAGAGGTTCGTTGGTATTTCTTAATGCGCTGTAAGCATGAGGCCTCGAAAGGGTTTAGCTTAAGCGCAGTCGATTGAGCTAAGCCTGCAGATGACGCCCACGTCTGAAGCAGCCAATAGCATGACTGATCGCCGACAACCTTACCGCTTATCACGGCCTAGTAGTTAGTCCGACGTGAAGTGCGTAATTCCCGTTGGATCTCGTCACCCAGACCCCAGCATATCAATACGAGCCATTTGCGGCACGATTTACTGCCTGATACTAGCTAATGCTTCATTGAATTTCAGCTCCCAACAGAAAGAAGGCCATCATGACGTCTTGCATGGGTAGATAAGCGCGCCCAACTGATAGCAGCAGGCGTCTCAAGCTACCTCCTCCGCGGCCTCTTATCAGCAATGAGACATCATGGCGCAGAGGGAGCAGCAGCAATCGGTCTCAGACGGGACGCGCAGTCGCAAGGGATGTCTCACCTGCAGAATCCGCAAGAAGAAGTGTGATGAAGAGCTACCAGCATGCAGCGCTTGTCGGTCAAGAGACCTTGCATGCTACGGGTTCAACGTGCCGCCACCGTCTTGGATCACCAACAAGGCCTCATGGAAAGATGTCCTAGAGTCCAATGAAGCAAGAGCTCTACGAACTGTGGCGGAGCTGCGGTACAGGGTCTCGAGAAAGCTCGAGTCCAGAGACACTGCTTCTGCCGCGATTGGAATCTTGCCAGCTGACTCAGGGAGCAACAGCCATCAACAAAGGGCACGTCACTCCCCAAGAACTGGTCATATCTCATTGGATTCGTTCCATTGCGACATCTTTGCAACACCATCCATTATTCAGTTGACAAATGGTGCCAATATCTGGCAGCGGCAACCCGACACCATATGGTGGGACAGCAGGATGCAAAGTCTACGGCCCGGACCTGAAAATTCTTCTCGAGAAGAAACGAGATTGCTCATGCTGTTTCTCGATGTCATCCATCCAATCACGCATACATTCTACAAGTTGAATAGCAGCACCGAACGTAACTGGATGCTCAATCGGCTCATCAGCAAAGACGACTTGTTTAGCTCAGCTCTGAGTATCAGCGCCTGCTTCGAGCACTCGTTGACCCAGCGGGCTACCGTGAACGAGATTGGACTTTCGCCAAAAGTGAGCAGGCTACAGAGCCGGTCGATTTCGATACTTCGGGAAGAGGTCGAGCGCTTTTCTCTCATGAAGCCGTTGCCAGTGGAAGATTTCGTCTGGGCTGGGGTCCACCTTCTTGATGTCATCGCTCATTTGGAGACACTCGAGATCTTCAGTATGCTTCAGGGTCAATGGGAGGTCCATCACCAGGCTGCAAGGAAGGTCTTGAATCATATTGAGACTGCTGTTCCACTTGGGAATCGCAATTCAACATCAGTGATAGCAGACGTATTATTGAGCTTGCCTGAAGGTGATGTACGACGACGATCGCTGCAACTTTCCATCTTTAACTTTATTTGGATTGATGTGCTGGCTACATCTACTTTCGGTGCCGTGTCGTTCTGCCCTTGCGCCTTCGACTACCTGCCTCTTCTAGATTCTGGTGCAATCAGGTCGCAGGACTTTATGGGTTGCCAGAGCCAAGTCTTTGCCATTGTCTCCAGAATTGCAAGACTTGAGCAACTACAGCTGATGCACCAAGGTGAAATGAATCAGCAGTTTACAGGACCGGAATTTCAACGACAACACAGCGAACTAGAACAACAACTTGATTATGTCTGCCAGACTCTTCGAGAAGTTATTGAGGGCCTGGTCAGTGTAACTTCAGGTCTAGATCTCGACGCTGCAATGATTAGTCTCATCTGGGCTTATGGTGCCAGAGTCTTGTTGCAAGTTGTAATTGCTCCAATTATATCCGAGCAAAGTAGTATCGATCAGACCTTCGTCAACATCTGCCTCGAGAGGATTGAGGCTCTCCCTACGCGTCTTGTGATGCGGACAGCCTGGCCGTATACTATCACCGGATGTATGGCCATGAGCGAGTCCCAGCATCACCGGTTTCGTCAAATCATCAACCACGTGCTGCAAGAAGCGCAGGCCCCTGGCATAACATGGAAAGGTCTCATTGTCATGGAGGAGTGTTGGAGGCTTCGAAGAATGCACCATGATCATTGTTTTGGTTGGAGAGAAGCTATGAAAAGTCTTGGTGCTAGAGTGATTCTAACTTAGTAATGAAGGAATGAGGACATACTTGGTTAAAATTATGGATATGTTACTTCCATAGATTGCTAGCATGACCGCCCTTAAACCAGAGACAGCGTTGAACCCAGAATAGTATAGGGTGAAATCGCCCAGCGGCGCAGGTAACTAAAAAGATCACAATTCAGACAGTGATAAACCAATCTTGTCAACACCCAGGATGCATTTGATATTAGGCAAGTGAGGATAGATACTGAGTACAGAAGATTTATTCACCAAAGAGTGATGCCAGAGAGGACGCGATGCCACGGCCATACTCATATTGTATCCAGACTATTTCCAATACTGACTCATCAGTTCCTTGGTAGTCAGAGGCTTGATGCTGGGGAACTTCTCATTTAATGAGCCTTCCATTGGCACCTTGCCAAGCCCCTCAGCCATCCATCGCTGAAAGATCGATAGGAACGGCAACAGAACCTCTCTGGGAAACTTAGGGTAGTCCTTCTTATGTCCCGGCAGTTCAGTGATTTGAAAGCTCCGGAGCATCTCCAAGTCGTCGTACTTTACGTCAAACTTGACGCCTCTAGCATTCTCAGCCAGTCTAATAAGCTCATTATAGGTCAATGTATCGCCAATAATCCGAAGTTCTCGTGGCCATGTTGGAAGATCAAGAGCCGCGACGACAAATCGCGCAACATCAAAGGTGTATGTTAAAGTTATTGGCTCATTGCCCGTGCCAGGAATACCAGCAGCTGCATTGGGAATATCGACGACCAAGGTGCCATGGTCGTAATATGACTTTAGCGTAGAAGGGGAATAATAGTCCAGAAAGGTTCCATTATGGACAACGGCCCACTCTAAATGAGTATTTGACAAGTAATCCAGGGAGTCAAAGTAGGACTGAAGCGGCGGGAGGATTTTTGGACCACTGTGTTATCTGTTAGAGGATGTTGCGCTTTTTCATAGCGTTGGCTTACTCTTCAGGGTATGGAATGGCGAATGAACTAGGGATAAAGCGCTTGGTTGCCCTAGACGCATCAGCGGCTTTGATGAGGTTCATCTGGGAGATGGCAAGTGATTTGGCATTAATACCAAATGCACAAATGACTGTGTGCACTTTGTGTTCCTCCAGGAAGGCTGTCAAGGAGCCAACGTCACTGTAGTCAACTGTAAAATGGGGTAGGGCAAGTTCGGAATCATGAGGGTCCTAGGTAAGAAGGTTAATTACCACTCCAGAAGGTAGCTTGACTGCTAGAAATACTTGTCTAGTTAAAATAATGCCCTCATGCTTTGACTGTCCAGCAAGTACATCCGCCAGGGTCCTACCCACAACCCCAGTTCCTCCTGCGATGGCAACTTTAACCATGTTGTTTAGAAAAAATGTAAATATAGAAAGGATTATATTGGCATAAAGAAAAATAAAGGAAGAGCATTAAATTCCTATAGCTATCTATTAAGTGTGTATTTTATTTACCCTTTCAATCCGGAGATAAGCTTAAATCCCGGTTTGGCTTACACCGACCACGTAACAAATACGAAATTTGTTTAGCTACCTTAGTGCCTTCCAACCTATGTCTCGGCCCACTTAAACAAAAGCGAGACCGAGAGCAGGACCGAAGTCGAGCCAGCGTTAGACAACTACTTTCTATTAAGAATGCCCTACCCTCCATGGGCTAAAGCAAGAGACCGTCACAATGTTAACTCAAAACTCATGTCAAACTCAATTGCATGGTTCTGCTGCCCAAAAAGCTATGTGCAATTTCGCAGGTATTATAAACGGCCGTTCCCTCCGTCAGCAAGGCATTGTATTTCTATCAACAATAGAAACACATGTCTGTCATCTAAGTAGAATCGCATTCGCAGCAATTAACCAGAGCGAGGAATCTCATCTAGGTTCTTGCAGGACCTCTGACCGGGTGTGAGAATTGTCTTCGCCAAAGCCCCAGCGCCATACACGCATTGGTGCAATTTTGATCATATCTAGGGTAGCAGGCACAGAGGGAAACAGCCAACAGATTTCCACCAAACATGATGAACTTCATCAACGCCAAGTCCGAAGCGAAGACATAGCCAGCTGGTTGAGATGCAACGTGCCATAGGCTTTGATAATTAGGATGGCAAGGTTTGGGATACCTTTGCTGGAGACGGGACCAGAAAGGGGCCTAATTCCAGGGACGCTCTGACATGACCCGATGACATTGGATGTTTGAGGCGATGAAAATGGGTTAATTGCCTTTAATGGCAAGATCTGCAAGGGCACTGTTACATTCTACTTCGAACCGAAATTAGGGCTGACATGCCGGCTCGGGTACATCCGTGTCTCCACTTTGAATGCCAGCGTCCGAGAGGCATAAATGACTAGAGCCAATCACGACAGAGTAATACTGGGCAAATTAGCCCGTGAGAAAGATAGTGCCTAAAAAGCGCCCGCAGAGATCTCAACGCTACTACGACCATGGCTTCTATTATCCGCGCCCATAGACCCGTAGTAAGCAGTCTTATCTCGTCTTTCCACAAGTTCCCGGTGGGTGTACATATACGGAAAGCAAGGACGGATTAGACGGCCACTTCCAGTATAGTCGCGTCTCAATGAACAGAAGACCTGGAAGTTTGACTCAGCCTTAACTCAGGGCAAATGCAACCTTCCTTAGTAGGTATATCGGAGTGACCAAAACGGGTTGCTACGAACAGAACACTAATAGTAGTGAGTAACGGTTCCTAATTTCCGATGATAGAGAAAATCTAGTTAATAAAGGTTAAATATAAGCATACGGAACTCACCATTTTGCAGGACTATTGCAGAACCAGGTCACTCATTTCACTCATTTCACTCTTTTTTACTCCTCTTCAGGGACAGCCAGCAACATGTGGCTCATTTCTTTACTCTTGGCGATATCTCTCGCCGCTCACGCCCAAGCCAGGGCAGTCTTTGCACACTTCATGATTGGCAATACCGAACACTACACCAATGCTGACTTTGTCAATGATATCACAAAAGCCCAAGAAGCTCATATCGATGGCTTTGTTTTAAACATTGCATACGATGACGCAACCAACGATCGCTCTATCCCCATGGCTTTCGATGCAGCCGGCAGCTTGGGCTTCAAACTTCTATTCTCTTTCGACTATGCCGGCAACGGAGACTGGCCCATGGACGAGGTCATTAGTCTCATCAACAAGTACAGCTCGCATTCTGCTCACTTCAAGCGCGGTTCTCAGCCATTGGTGTCCACATTTGAGGGCTTCAATAGGGCTAAGGACTGGAGTACAATCAAGGACAAGACCAACTGCTATTTCATGCCTAGCTGGTCTTCTGTTGGAGCCAAGAGAGCTGTCAGGACAGGCGAGACTAACGGTCTCTTTAGCTGGGCTGCTTGGCCCGAGGGTCCGAACACGATTGACATGGAGGTTGATGCATCCTACCTCATTTTCTTAAACGGGTCATCCTACATGATGTAAGTCATTCAGATGAGAGTCTGAGCTTCGCTAACAGTTGCATAACCAGGCCAATTTCTCCTTGGTTCTACACCAATCTGCCCGGCTACAATAAGAACTGGCTCTGGCGCGGAGATTCACTGTGGCATGACCGCTGGAATCTGGCTTTTACCCTTGTCTCACAAGACCAGTGGCCAGGCCAACCAGAGTATCTACAGATCATCTCGTGGAACGACTACGGAGAATCTCATTACGTCGGTCCTCTGAACGACAAAGCTTACGTCGCATTTGAAATTGGCGAGGCTCCTTACAACTACGTCAAGGGCATGCCTCATGATGGCTGGAGAAAGCTGCTTCCCTACGCAATCGACACTTTCAAGAACGGAATCGCCACCATCAACCAAGAGGTCCTTGTAGCTTGGTACCGACTCACTCCAGCATCGGCATGCGCAACTGGTGGAACCACGGGAAACACGGCGGCTCAGCTGCAGCCTGAGATGCCACCCGGAGAACTGTCGCAGGACAAGATCTTTTTCTCGGCATTGCTCACCTCTTTACTCACTCCACGAGTCACCATCGACGGTCAGAGGCGCGTCGTGAACTGGGATGATGCTCCTTACGGTTATGTGGGTATGTTCCACGGCAGCTTTGCATATGAAGGTCGCGTTGGCAAAGTTCTCATCGAGCTCGTTGACGCTTCGGGTGCCGTTGTTGCTACACTCAATGGTGCTGATCTTACCAAAACCTGTGAAAAGGGCATCACCAACTGGAACCCGTGGGTAGGAAGCACCACGACTACGAGATCCGTTTCTGCAGCACCAGCACTGTCTTTGTCGAAGCAGCAGTGTATGAAGGGAACTGGGCGAGACGGTTTTGCAGAGCTCTGCGAATTCACATGCTCCTTTGGCTACTGTCCGTAAGTAAGAGCGCAGACCACCAAAACAGATCATGGCAGCTAATCAGATTCACTCAACAGTCCAGGCCCGTGTACCTGTACCAAGCTAGGCAAGGCTCTGGACACGCCGGAACCTAAGAACGTCGATGGCTATCCCCTAGCGGGATCAGATTGCACATACAAGGGTCTTTGCTCGTATGCTTGTAACTACGGCCACTGCCCATCCAAGTATTGCACAACTGCCCCCTCAGCTAAGGATAAGTGTGTCATTCCACCCGAGGAAGCGGACCCTGAGGACTCGGCCGATGCCTGCACAGCGGGAACTGGAACAGGTAACTTTGAGGGACTCTGCGGTTTCTCTTGCGGACGCGGCTATTGTCCCCAGCCCCAGTGCAAGTGCACAGGACGTGGCCCAGCCATTACACCTCCACCTGCGACTTCTGCAGGAGGATACCCAGCAAATGGTCTTTTGGGCGAATATACTGGACTCTGCAACTTCGCTTGCGCCCGAGACTACTGCCCGTCCGGTGCTTGTTCCAAGGCCAACCCCTATGGTGCTCTCTTCAAGGAGGAGCTTCGAACGTGCGATTCTTCTGATGAGAAGAGTGAGTTTCCTTCCCCGTTGTGACTAGATGGGAAATAACACTTAGTCTAGGCGCCTGGAACTGCCCCAACCTCAACTGCTTCCAAGCCAGTAAAATTGAGGACGGTGTCAAGAAACGCTGGGATTCTGTCGGTGCCGGAGAGTTCTTCAACTACACCGCAGAATGGTTCTATTACCAGAACGAGGTGGCCATCGGTGGCAATACGATGTTCTACGGAACGCCTTTCCAGGATCAATACATTCGCTCCATTGCCTACTTCTACGGCGGTCGTGACGCGAACGGGGGAAACAGGGCAGCCGACAACTACGACTGCGACATCATTGGAGCCAACGCATGGTATGTACTTGTAAATTGCCGTCTCGTTATAGCAACTGATCACGATAAACATTTAGTACGAACCCCTTTAAGTGCGGCACGACGCAATACCCTGGCATGGATCTGGTCTTTGCCTCGTTCTCCAACTTGCACAACTTCATTACCAACATGTATCTTTCAATTGATGGTATTTCCGCCAGCGCGGCAGCGAACGCAGACTCGGTCAGTCAACTGCATCGCTATTTGACTTGCGCACTAACCACTCAAGCAGATTGCTTCCACTTTCGGCGATTCCAAGCTGGACGAGGGTCTGAAGTTCCTGCAGGAGTTTTCGGAGTACTTCGGTCTTAGCATGCAGTTTGCGGGTGGTTCGTTCTGGAGCAAGGTAAGAGAGAGGATTGGGTCTAATTCCAACGTGCTAACTGTAATCAGATGATCACAGATCCTGAGGTGTTCAAGGCATTTGGAGATGTCGTTTCAAGGGTTGAACAACTATCCGGCACCGTGGAGACCTTCACATCCCTCTACAGCACTATATCTGAGGCACAGACTGAAGAGTACGTCACAAGATCTCCCTTCTAACATGATATCACACTCACAGATTCACAGGGCTATGAATGCGATGGAGATTGCCAAAGAAGTCAGCAAAGCAGGCGATGAATTTTCCAAGCAGGCTCGCCAGACGCTTGACAAGTTCCTCAAGCAGATCTTTGACGGAAGCTACCTATCAACAAGACGCCTCTACCCCATGATTGCCGACGGAACTTGGCTCGACGCTCCCAAGGTTTCCATCTTTGACTTCCACAAGTCCATCGAACCCATCATGAACGCCATGCTCATCAACAAGGCCTGGACCACTGGCGCCAACGGCAATGCCATGGTCATTCTCGCCAAGGAGGGTCACGTGACCTACCCCCAGCCTCGACGTGGCAACGCTGCTCTCATGAGCAATGACGATGGTGAGGCCACGCAATACTTCTATACGAGTGAGACAGGTGAGGAATGGACACTGTGGATAGCCCAAGTCGACGTCTGCACGCAGAACCGCTGTGATCGTAGATTCAAGGCCCCCAAGGGTCTCGATGAGATCAGAGAGGAGAACGACTATGGCGTTACTGTCAGAAACATGATTCTGTCGCCTTTCTTCAACTGGAGGAGGCAAGGTAACCAGAACTACCATCCGACGAAGCTTGATCCATATGCCAAGAATGGCGACAAATCGGCCACGTCGCAGGTTCCGTTCTCAGTTGGCCTCGACCATCCTGGTGCTATCCCCATTCCGGTCTGCGATATCGAGACGGCCTGGCAGAACATTGCCAAGTGGTGGAGGAACCCCAGCGAAGCTCCCTGCGATTACTATCCATGCTGCAGTTACTAGTCTTGAACGCAGGATTAGCAAAGGCTAGGTATCTTGCTCGGAACGGAGCGGAAGATGGCTTTGGGGATATGTTGCATCGACTTGGCGAGACCGAGCCTTGTCACATTTCTTTGGTGTATTTAGAAATTTTCGATAGTCAGTATCTTCATCACGATGGGCACCATTCTTTGGCTCATGGTTCTCTTCTGTATTAACTATATAATCCTTGTCAAGCCTTGACTTTTATTATCACCAATTGGGAGGGTCTTGAACCATTTGTATCTTCCCAACATGTCAGACCTGCTAAGTTAAACGGCATTATGAGTAAACTTTCTATGTAAAATACAACAGTAGCAATGATATATCTTTTTTTAGCAGCCAAACGTGCCACTTCTGCTCATGATTAAGGCTGGGAAATCTTTCACTCCGTGACGTTTGATGATATATTATTGTACCTTCTGTCTGCAAGCTAACCCTACGGGAATACGGGAATCGCCGTCCGCCGGATATTCCAGCTCCGGCTGAACGACCAATTGTAATGGCGTGGAGCTTCCGGGGCCGAATTACTACTTCGACTAAGCTACCGTACAGAAAATGCGGCCCCTATCGCTGCCATCACCTTCCATTCATGCCACAGTATAAAATACAATAATGTCTCCAAGGACTCTAGGTAGTTCCCAATAGTTTCAGATCACATTATCCTCATCAAACTCCCGGTCAGCGCGTGCAGTCGGGGCTTGTTCGTCCAAGTGCAACTCAGAGGCACGCATATCAATCTTCTTGATAACCGCGCCCAACACAACCTTGAGTAGCTCATCGTCCGACATGGATGTGCCATGACCACTCCAAGTCACCGTGTCGACAATATCCCGTGTCCCAGCCTCTTTGTGCAGCTCGTCATCGAGATGCTGCAGTGTCCTCTGTCGCTCAAGGTTTGGCCCGCCCAGGCGGAATAATTGAACGCCAGCCTGGTGAATTGGTGCCTTAGCCTCATCAAGAGTCCTGGCAGCTTGGATCAGGGGCGTTTTGATGTCATCGTCGAATTGGCCGGCTGTCAGCACGACAATGTTGAGAGCAGCCTTCTCCTCCCCGGCCGTGAACTTGTCGCAGTACCACTTGAGCAGGCCGCCGAGCCTGGCGCCCATATTGCACTTGCCAGCCGGCTTGACGCTATCGAAGATGCTGCCGACCTGCTTTCCCTTGCTCGTCAAGAGCATGTTGCCGACGAAGCCACCAATGTGCGTGTAGCCCGACTTGCGGATGGACTGCAATCCAGGCAATTTGGCCAAGACGCCGCCTGGTCGGTGGTTGACAAAGTACAGATCGACTCCGTCTGGATCATGCTTAGCGCAGATGGGTGCAATGCGCTCTATCAGTGTCTTGATCTCGGACCAGTAGGGCTGCATGGCCTCTGAGTCGTCGACGAGAAACATGGTGTCGAAGCATCGTAGCTGCAGGAGTGTCTTCTCGAACTCGGTGACATCCATAGTTGTTTGAGACTCGGGGGCTGACATGGTGGTTGCTGCTCGTTGTTTGAGAATATTTTGCGAAGCTTAACCGTATTGAGAAACAGTCTTAATAGTAAGTTGAGGATTAATTAATAGAAAATCTTAGAAAAGACAGTAAAATGATATTAAGGCGGTGAAGACGTGAATGACGACTGAAGTGGAGAATGGACAGGGGTGTGCGGGACTGGGACTTTTACTGTGCAATAGGAAAACAGAGAAACCTCTTATGATATCACTTTTCGAGAGGAAGCAGAGCCTCAGCGGCCGGTGTGATTCATTTTCATATCAATTATATGACTGCTAAACATGTAACCTATCCGGTTTACACGCAGATGCGACCACCTACAAACTCGATGAAGAAAATGGAAGCACAGTGCCGATGAAGATTTTCCGAAAGCAAAAACTTCATAAAGACGGCTCGGTCAATCTACTGTCTGGAAAGGCTGCAAAGTGACAACCGGCTGCGTGGTTGGAAAGACGATCTGCTTAATGCCCCAGCAGGAATCCACCTGATACGAGGCAAGGATGCGCCAGCCGATACCAACCTCCCGAAAGATTGGGCTAAGGATATTGTCCCAGAGCGCTTGAGAAGCCTGGCCTCACAAACGGCTAATCGGTACAGTTATATCTTTAAGACTTATGTGTTGATTGATGTAGTGTTTATCTCGAAATTCGATAAACTGATAAACCATCTCAAGACCCTCTCGTTGTCAAGAAATTGAACCTGTCTGGCAGTCACCATTAGCTCATTCATTCCCCATTGCGCAGCGGGGTTATATTGTCCGCTGCCCAAACCATTCGCGGTATAAGACCGAAGCATAGTCAGAGCTAAGTGTAGCTTCCTACGAAAGCTCTATTAATCTTTAGGCTCCTTTCTCAAGACTTATTTTACATACTGTTAACAGGGCAAAAGATCAAGGAGGTCTTGACATGGGGCAGTTTAGGGTAGTTATTGCGAGTGTATTAAAGTATTGGTCCACCAACACCAACGGCCTTGTCTACATCGCTGGCCGCATGTCCTTTAAACATTTTAAGTGAGACTTCGACGACGTTGATCAAATGGTGCAACAACTTCTATGTCGAGGTTTATTCTGCCTTCTCCGTATTACCATTATTCTTTGAGATAATTGCATCAAGACCATTGGCAGGACCTTTCAATTCCCCATCCCCTATCTCCCCGTCCCATCCATGATTCACAAGATATGCAAGGAACCTCTCATCATTCTTGCTCAAATCCTCTCCAGTGACATTCGGGATAAAGAAGTATGTTACTAAAACTCCTGTTATGCCACAAATTGCAGCGATGATAAATGTCCAGCGCTTTCCCAGAGTCAGTTGAATGGGCTTGAAAGCCTGAGTTCCTACAGCTGCTCCAGTCTTGCCCAGCGCTGCGCTGATGCCGTAGCATGTTCCACGGACACTTGTGGCGTAGCTTTCGGACGAGAGCAGACCAAGCATATCTCCAGGACCAAGATTTCCAGAAGATTGCATGAGACCATAGAAAACAACAAACAGGGGGACAATCTTGGTGATTTTGTCGTATGCACAGCCAATGATCAGACCAAACACCAAATACCCCGCGAACCCTATCATCATGGTGTTTTTCCTGCCAACCCTGTCGCACATCCAAGCACCAACGACACCAGGTAGAGCAATGCAACCGAGTAAGAGCTGCCATTCCGCCGTGTGTAAAAGTGTGTTGCCGCCCTTGGGTACCACGGAGGCAAGTATGGTACCTGAGAAGACCCCATTTGGAAACGTAACAAAGTCGTACAGAAACCAAGCACCACAAGTGCCGATAAGAGTTTTCCAATAGTAGCGAATAACGAGGGCATAAGGAACCCTTCGTTTGATTGCACCCCGCCGGTAGAGCTTCGAGTTGAGCATACGTATGCGGAAGTAGAAGACAGTGAGCGGCAAGAAGATCCCGATTCCAAAACAGACACGCCACACAGTCGAGAGATTGTCAGTTCCCGCGGCTGAGAGAGCAACCATGAAAATAGACACCGCAAGCGGACCTCCAAAAGATAGCGGCAAGTTTGTGACAAGGATGAAGATCGGTCCTCGGTTGTTTAATGCTCGCTCATTGGCAGACTCAGAAGCGGATGTGCTACTCGCAGGATACTCGCCACCAGTTCCGAAGCCAACGACGCCTCGAGCTACCGTCAGCATCCAGAACATGCCATCGATGGTCGTGCCGTGTGCTGCCGTGGCTAGAATACCGCCAATGACAATGCACGTTGTGGTTAGCACAATGGCTGTCTTTCGTCCTAGATAGTCGCACGTGAGGCCGATGGCAATTTGGCCGAGAATCTCGCCAACGAGGAGAGCGTTGGATACCCGAGTACTGACGGACGAAGTGTACTGCTCAGGATATTCCTTCTTGAAGAGCACATTCGACATTGTCATCAAGTTGTTCTGATAGCCATCCGAGATAAGTGCAGCTCCTGCACAAAGAATTGTAAAGAGGTCTGATATTCTTTGGCGACGACGCATGACATCTTGCGTTAAGCCTTCAACGCTGATGGAAGCATTGGCGGTCTTGCTTTCATGTTGAGCGTCTTTCGTGCTCCCAATTACGTCCGGTTGAGTGTCAGACATGATGAGAGATCGTGGTGCAGGGAATTTGCAGAAATTAAAGAGACTTTGAATGCGAAGCTGTTGACCTTATACTTGGTAGATCCTTTCTCGTGTAAGACAAGACATTTGCCGATTTCCCGTTTGCAGTCCCAATTGGGTAAGTCACCAGAAGCGCTAGTCTTGTTATCTACTTCCGACATCCGAGTTGGCCTATTACAGTTATTATGCCAGCCATGTGACTTGCGATATCCACAATATGGATATCACGGCTTGTTTATCGCAAGATGTTTGAACTTTTTGAGTTGTGAGAAGCCCAGTTTTCATATTACAAAGGGTCGCCATTTGGTAGGGCAATATGTCTAAATCACCTTTGATATGCTGGTATACTCTGTTTAGCCAAATTGAGACTACGTCAGCTTCTAGTGTTAGTCCAAGGTTTCTACCAGCCAATCAGTATAAATAAATGCTGCATGTGAAGCAGATATTCACCCGCTTGTAGCCAGAAAAAGGTTACTAGTTGCGAATAAAAGCAATACAAACTCGGGAGCTTTCAGTATCATGCTGAGATTCCTCCTTAGGCCATTACAATCTCGGTGAGCTGGGCGCTAAGGTCAAGATATTAGCGGTTCTGGAAACTAGCCGACGTAAATACAACTAATAAGAACAGCGAGGAGTGGACAAGGGGTTTAAGATTCTTGTTAGGCCAGAAGATATCACCTTTTATGCTGAGGAAGAGCTCCTATAGAGTCTAAAGCTATGATTCGAATTGCTCAAATATGTCCAATGGAAAGGCAGCCGCCATTGCTTCGAACGCTGCAACGTTTGGGTGCAAGTGGTCCCCAGAGTCAAACTCTTCCTTCAGTCGACTACCATCTTTAGCAGATCGCAGGACATTGTCAAAGTCTACCACGGCGTCAAATACGCCAGACTTCCGAATCCAATCGTTCACGTCCTGGCGCGCCCTTTCACGCATTTCGCAGGTTCCGTAAGGCTCGTTACCACCCATTGGCCCAATAGTGGCACCCAAGACATGCAAACCGTGCGCATGGCAGCGTGAGACAATCTGGCGATAGGCCTTCTTGAGAGCTTTTGTGACCTGTTGCAAGGATGCGGTGTCAGAATCTGCCGTGCCAAGGTCGTTCACCCCATGGAAGACTAGGATGTAGCGTCGACCTGGCTGAGCGACAGCGTCGCGATCTAGGCGACTCAAAAGACTTGGTCCTTTGCCATCTTGTAGAACCCTCCCACCACCCACGGCCTGGTTGATGATGGCGATATTCTGCGCGAATGGGTGCTGCTGCATGCGGTCAAACAGAAGGTCTGGCCAGCGGTTGTTTGCGTTATCTGTGCTACAGCGCCCGTCGGTTATGCTGTCGCCCAGGAGAACAAGGGTTCCGTGATGAGCAGCATCTTGACATATTTCGACTCCAGAGAGGAAATACCAGTGCGTCAACGACCGTAAGTCAGACCCGGAGAGCTCAGATGCCATCGACTGGTCGCCATGACAAAGCCAGGAATCTGTGCGACTGCCAGGGTGGGAGGTGATCTGTTGAGAATGATGGCCTTTCTGGAGAAAGATGCTGATTGACAGAACCTGCCCTGCTTTGATTGGGAATTTGAGACAGTCTGATACTACGTGGGAGCCGCCAGGCACTGAGATCGTTTGTTCGCCATCTAAAAGAACCTGCTGCGCTGTCCCTTTCAAGATCGACGCAGAGCCACAACAACCAAGAGAGTAGTGTGACCGAGGAACAGCAATCACAGCTCTCGAGATGTGCAATGTCTCCAATCCAAACAGGTTCGACAAGCGAATCCGGATAGAGTCCCCGCCTGCCGTCACTCTCAAAGTCTGTCGGATTGTGGTGTTCCGAAAAGCAACCCCATGCTGCGTCTAGTGAAGCATTTGTGGTGAATGAAGGCTTTATTAAAAGGAACGGAACCTGGATGACCTACCAATGGATAGGATGGCATATCCGCCTCCTCAGTAGGCTGAGGTGTTGGTGCCCAGACTGTTACCCACTTGGAAAGAGACTTCATCATTGGGGGGGGGGGGTATTGACTTTTCTCTGTGCCAAAAAAAAAAAAATGCATACACTGGTAGCTCTTTAAAAAGGGACAAGCTACCTATGATGAAGCTTTGATTGCGAAGAAAGAAGGGCACGCCAGCGGTCAAACTGTCAAACTGGCTAAGACAGCAAACCCCTCAAACGCTAAACCTTGTGCCGGGTAAATGTACAAGAGTCCCAGAAAGCGGAGAAATCACTCTTGCGAACTGATAGCACACGAACCATGATGATAATACAACATTTACACTTCCATAGTCCAACTAATACAACGTCAGCTATGGTGAATTGCTTTATGCTTGGATGATGAGAAGAAATAAATACATATGTTAAACCTATTCAGCGAGGGTTCCCCCACTGTCTAATGAGGAAGTACTTGGCATTTTCCCACTATAATATTCAACCCTTACTGACTGTTTAATCCACCACTCCCTCAGGCAAAACCGAGATGTAATCTAGTGATGCCATGTCCTTTCCGTCTGGGTAACCGATAACTGTTAGCTTGGCGCCCTCCCAAACATCAACACCACGCAAGTAAACTCTCGTGGCCGAGTGTCCGTCTAGATACTCCGAGAAGTCATGGCCAAGCCGCGTGTCAAGATCGCTTTTCCACTCTCTGACCATCTTTCCATCTAGGAGAAGCTCGTAGCGTGCATGCCCACCAGTGTGATCAAAGTAGTTAACAGCAATGTCACGCTTCCCCGAGGGGAACGTTAGTATCGTGGTTGCAACGGCCTTTTCCAACGATGATGCCACGATGGCACGTCCAAGAGACGCTGCTTCAGGAGGCGTAACGTCAACGATGGTATAACCACTCAGCTGCATGCTTTCGGCTTCTATACGCCATAGATAGTTTCCGACACGATTCTTCTCATCTGGGATGCCACACTTGGCCAGATAGAAGTTGTTCACCGAGTCACGCCAGACGAGTGAATGACCTGCTTGATACGCAAGCTTGAAAGCGACGTGCTCAAAGCGCGCATCGTCAATGAGGCCCTTCAGGGATGCCCACCTTGTCACAAATGTCTGAGCATTTGCTGACCCTTCGTAGTGGGCATCGTATATGTGTTGGATTACGGTTTTACCAGACTTGAGCTTGTGCGTATAAGGAACGTGATGAAACCATAAAAGAAGGTCATCTGGCGTTGTCTCGATCCTCTCAAACTGAGCAGCGACCTGAGGTGGATATTGAGCTGCATAGCCCGTGCCAGTGGCAGCGGTGCGGTCCATGCCGAGGGCCTTGCTATCGGCGCGAGTCCATTGGCCCCAGCCGTTTCCATCTTGTGAACCTGGGCTGGGGCCGTAATGGTTGTAGAGGATGTCACACAGGGTTTGGATCCCGAGATTACCACTGTAGGCTTCATATGTAGGCCAGGACTCCATTCCGATCTCGCAGATGGTGTCTATCACCTTCTGGTTCTCTGCAGTGAATGTCAGGCGAATCCAATCGAGCAGGATATCCTGCGCTGGAGCAGCTGCGTCCCAGCACAATCGACCGTATGCATAGAGGTTTGACATAGATAGATGGTGTCCCAGCCATGTAAGGTCATCCCCGATGTTGGTGACTGCAGCATAACCGCCCTTTTTTATACCATGGACCTTGCCAGAGGCGATATCTCTTACAAGAGAAGGCTTGTCGTCGATGCGCATGTCGAAGCCGAGAATAGTCTCCCATTCTGGGGCCATGTACACGTAATGCGACTGCTGACCCAGATACTCCTGACACACCATGAACTCACAGATCATTGGCGTCTTCCGGAGATGGGCGAATAGAGTAGAGGGAGGCTCACGAACCTGAAAGTCTATTGGGCCAAATTTGATCTGGATGATGACGTTATCTTCGAACTCGCCATCAAGGTGAGCGAAATACTCTACCGCGGCATTGGCTCGGTCGTTCTTGAGATCGGATTCGTCCAGGTGGTGGTTGTAGACAAAAGCGCGATACATGACGACACCGTCACCATGAGGCTTCAGTGCACGAGCGAACATGTTGGCTCCTTGTGCAAGTGTGCGACCATATGTCAGAGGCCCCGGCTGACCTTCTGAGTTGGCCTTGATGGTGTATCCAAGCATATCCGGGACACGCTTGTACAGCTTGGCCGTGATATCCTCCCAGAACTTGATGACATCAGGATCTAGAGGATCTGATGTTGGCAGACCGGCGAGGCCTCGGGGAGTGTCGAAGAACAATGAAACGCCAATGCGAATTCCATAAGGACGCATGACATCGGCGACTCGACCGAGACCATCGAGGTTTGTGTCGTTGAGAAGATTGTGGCTCGAATTGACATTGTTCACAATGCAGCCATTGATGCGGACTGAGGCTAATAAGCGAGCATATTGGCGGACACGACATAGGTCCGTCAAGACCTCGCCGTCGCGGAAGAAGATGGACTTGCCGCCGTAACCTCTTTCTATGCTGCCGTCGAGGTTGTCCCATTCGTTGACGTATCTGATAGCAGCTCCGGGATGGTATGCCTGTTGGACATTGGTCTTGGCCAGTTTGCCCTGTGCAAGGAGAGAGAGGTATTCGAATGCTCCATAAAGGGCTCCTCGCTCATTTTGGCCGACGATGTGAATGTTATTGTTTCCATCAACATTTGTGTCAAGCCAAAATCCATCTTCATCGAGTACAGGTACTGACTGAACGAGATCTTCGCCTCCGTTCGCCTTCAGAGCTGGCAAGGTGCCGACTACAATTGAACCTTTGGTGTCAGCGCGAAGGTCAGAGTCGACCTGTACGATTTGTCCCAGTATGCGCTCGAGGCCACGTCGGAGCTCCTCTCCAGCGACAGAAACTGGACATTTTAGGTTGGTGCTCAGAGCAATGATGCTGGAAACTGGCTTATGAAGGCTGCGCAATGTCTCGGATAGAGGGGCATAGCGAAGCCATGCATCGATTCCGCTTTCTGGAGGAAGCATTTTGCGGGCATTGAAATGTTTGTTACTAGATGCAGACTACTACCCCTTCATTGAAAACTCGATACATGAAGGACACGGAGAACCTAGAGTCTTTAAGACTATGAACGGTCACCAATCGTGAGGGGCGATTTCGGAGCACAGTCTTTGGCAATTGAGCTGTCACGCTTGGAGTCCATGTGAACGCGAACCATGACACAAGGAGAATATCTCACGCTATGCAGAATAATCAGGGTCCAATGACAACATACCCATCTCATTAGCTGGGCTCACAGCTTGAGCGGGTCTCGCTCGGCATCTGGTAGCCGATTCCTTGCGCTAGAGCGGGTAAAAGTCCAGAATAAATGTGACACTTCGTTCCCCCCACGTAGTCTTGTTCGGCATTTAGTAGCCGATTTCTACACTAGGCCCGGTTAAAAGCGCTGGGTGAAAGCCATACTTTACACTATGCGAGCATTCGAGCTGGAAAAGAGGGGAGTCGAGGTTACATTACCTCAACCACCACACTCGCTTCAAAGGTTACTGCAGTAAGTCAAGGCCAAGAGATCGCAGATCGCGCCTTCAGCCAAGGTTGGCCTGCTGGCCGGCATTCTCCCCATCTACACGTCACATCGCCCAAAAACGGCCAGCGATGAGTCCCCAAGTTCTAAAAGGAACACTTTCGCTTTTAGGCCTTAGACGGTGGTGCGTATTGAGCCTAAATTCATCCTACGTTGAGCATGGTTTATGAACTGGTCTTGGTTGAACAGTCACTGTTACCTTGCCTGCCAGGTGAACACAAAATCTCGCACTTATTTCCCTACACCTAGGTGTTATGGGGACTGACCAAGTCTACAAAGAAAGGAATAGAGGCGCCATTGTTGCAACGAGGAACTAATATAATGCTAAAAAGATTGCAATTGACTTATTTATAGTGCACTGTATTCTCAACTCAGATATCCTGTCCTAACTAGAAGTCAAATAAACTGCAGCGGCTAACAAACTATCCCAAAGCATAAACTCTCCTACTCATTAAAGATGGTACCTCATTCTTTGTGCTCGATGCCCAACTTCTCATCAATATCAATATTATTCTCAAATTCATAGCCTTTGAAATCGCGAGCACCCAGGTTCTTCGTGAAAAGAATGTCGAGCTCCTCGTAAGTGCGACCCTTCAGTTCAGGAAGACGGAACCAAGCCCAAACGGCGCAGAGGATACAGAAGCCGGTAGCTAGGAAAGCAGACTTTCCCTTCCAGTTCGCAGCTGTGGGATTAAGAATATGAGGAACAACGCATGTGGCGGCAATATTGATGACATTGTAGGCATTCCGAGCCAGACCAGTTGTCTTGGAGCGCAGGCGAGTAGACGAAACCTCGGCGACAATGATATAGGTAATTGGGCCGATCGTCATCTCGTAGGTAGAATACCACACGTAATAGAACGCTGCGGAGACGCCTCCTGTGGCACTGCTTTGCCTTGGGATGGCCACAAAGCCGATAACAAACATAGCAGCGGACATTATGAGGCAGCCCCAAATGTAAATCGATCGCCGTCCATGTCTCGCGATGATGAAAACAGACAGGAGGACGGTGACAAAGTGAAGACCACCTTGGCCAACAGTCAACTTGTAAGCGTTCTTGGTCGACATACCGGCCTGTTCGAAAAAGTATGTGGCATAAGAGGAAACGCCGAAACCAACAAGGACTTGACTGGCCCAGGCAACACATGCGATCTCCGTGCGCCAGAGGTTGGATCCCCTGATGCAGTCGAGATACGACGCTCCCTCTGTGATGCTGCGCTCAAGCTCTGTGGTCTGCACCATAAGAGATAGCTGGTTCTGAAGCTCTTCGTCCGACATGTTGGACGTAAGCCTCTTCAGGGACATCTTGGCTTCTTCCAACCTTCCACTGCGGACCAGCCACCAGGGCGACTCGGGGCAGAAGAACATCAGAGGTGCGATGATAACAGGCCATACCCACTGCACGGCAAAAGGAATCCTCCAGGCCCAGATACTCTTGTTGCCAACAAGAGAGTCCAGAACAGCGTAAGATAGGAGCTGACCAATGCCCCAGCACAGCACAACGTACGTTTCAAGATACGCGCGAAGAACCACAGGAGCGACCTCAGAGGCATACGCAGGTCCCATTGTGGTGAAGACACCCCATCCCAGGCCGCAAAGCAGTTGACCAACGAAGAGAACCTCAACTGAAGGGGCAAAAAAGGAGATGAAGATAGTTCCAGTCAACCAGAACAGAGATATCAAAAGAGTCTTCTTGTGTCCAATCCTCTCTGTCATCCATGTGTTGAAAAAGATACCAACAATACCTCCCAGGGAACTGGCCAGGCCAAGAGCTGTTTGCCACTTGGGCTCAAGCTGGTAGGTTCCTGGCTTAGAAGGATTCGGGATGCCAAATCGCTTTTGGAAATCGGGGAAGGCAAAGAGTGATCCAAGTAGGGCTGTGTCGTAACCATCCATGATGATTACAAGGGACACGACGCAGGACCAGAAGCAGGCCTTTGGGTATTTCTGGATGGCCTGACGGATGCTGAGGGAGTGTTCTGCGGCTGTGGCAGCACGAGCCTCAGCAGAGGTCTCGCCTGTCCAGCCATGATGGTCGTCTGGTGGCGCCATCTCAACGGATTCGGCGAGCTTTTTTGCCATACTGTATTTTATCGGTTTGGGATGATTGATGAGTTGATTTGTAGTAAGTGCCCAATTGTCAAGTCGAGAAATGGACTACCAGAGTCGGTCTGATTAATACACAAGCAAAGGCTCCCAGCAACGTTCCAGATAAATGAGGTAGGATCCTCGACTTGTTCATATACAATCCTACTCAAGGAATCTGCTGGCTCCACTCTAACGCGGTAGCAAAAACAGCTTTAGGATTGATCTAGATATGGGAAGTGGACTATGCGCTGTTCGGTAAAGGCGGCACAGTAGACTGACTCTGAGCATGCAGGGGTTAAAACCGCCAGTTTTTTAAAGGTGAACTTGTATTTAATTTAGCCTATTTAGTGTATTAATATTAGAATAAGAACATGATAAGTATTACGAATCAGCGAAGAGGTATTCACCTAGTGAACGTTTATCTAATAGGAGAATTTACTAGTTATCGGCATAAGAATAAGCACCTCCAAGCCAAGTCCGGGGGAAAGTGGGGATGTTTGCGGGGGTGGAGCCGTTGAAGAACGGCAAACTCGGCACTGGAGAAGCACACATTGAAGGCTAAAACATCCCTCCACACTTGCAATCAGGGAAGATTGACTTTGGTCCTGGTCAGGGGGAGCTTGGCCATTGTGCGGGGTATCAGATAGACGAAAAGCGAACTTGAATTTAACCAGAACTCTGGTTAAACTTCTCAGGAGTACATCTTGCAACCTAAACCATGGCTGTAGTTCCTAATCAGTCGATTAATCGGTAAGACAGGACTTGGACGGCTAATTGAATGATTACTAAAACGGTCATTTGTCATGGACTATCCAATTCACAAAGTAATTGATAGGCTGAGCCACGTTGCACAAGATGGCCCGGTTAACATGGTCGTGCCAGACGCCGTAGAACATTGTATTGTCCAGGGGTTAATCTGGCAATGTATCTGCGCGGAAGTCGAGAAGTCCCAGCATTCTGATTACGTATAAATAGTGCAGCGGAATCAATTTTCTTACCGATTGGCAGAATAATATCCCAATTCGTGGCAACCCCTCTGTATAAGCCAAACTGAGCTGGTTCTTCCTTATCTTTCCTCCCCACCACCTCAGCTTATCTTGAACAGCCATGGGTCCTTTCGCCTGCGGCCTTGCCGCCTTGAACCTCCTGGGTTGCATAAGTCCAGCGTTCGTAGCGGCCGTTCCCATGGATTCATACTCAGGCTCTGAAGTATTGATTTCGGTGAATGGACACGTCAAACACCAAGAGCTTGACGGCTTCGGCGCTTCGCAAGCATTCCAACGGGCCGAAGACATTCTTGGAAAAGACGGTCTGTCCAAAGAAGGCACTCAGCATGTACTAGACTTGCTGTTCAGCAAGGATATTGGTGCAGGCTTCTCCATCCTGCGTAACGGCATTGGCTCAAGCAACAGCTCTGAGAAGAACTTTATGAACTCAATCGAGCCCTTCTCACCAGGCTCACCCGGAGCGAAACCACACTACGTCTGGGACGGTTACGACAGCGGTCAACTCACTGTCGCTCGAGAAGCATTCAAGAGAGGATTGAAGTTCCTATACGGCAATGCTTGGTCCGCACCTGGCTACATGAAGACGAACCAAGATGAAAATAATGGAGGCTACTTGTGCGGTGTCACAGGTGCTACTTGTGCTTCTGGCGACTGGAAACAGGCCTACGCACACTACCTGTTGCAGTGGGTTGACTTCTACCGCAAGTCAGGTGTCAAGGTCACCAACCTGGGGTTCCTTAACGAACCTCAGTTCGCCGCTCCCTACGCTGGCATGCTTTCCAACGGCACACAGGCCGCTGACTTTGTACGCGTGCTGGGCAAGACGATTCAAAAGCGAGGTATTCACGATCTCACAATCACCTGCTGTGATGGTGAGGGCTGGGATCTGCAGGAGGACATGATGGCTGGTCTGACTGCTGGACCTGATCCCGCGATCAACTACCTTGGTGTCGTCAGCGGTCACGGATACGTTTCGCCGCCAAACCATTCACTTTCAACAACAAAGAAGACATGGCTCACCGAGTGGGCTGACCTCACGGGCCAGTTCACTCCCTACACATTCTACAACAACAGCAGCCAGGGCGAAGGCATGACATGGGCTGGCCGTATCCAGACAGCCCTTGTAGACGCCAACGTCAGCGGATTCCTCTACTGGATCGGTGCTGAGAACTCGACCACCAACAGCGCTCTTATCAACATGATCGGCGATAAGGTCATTCCGTCCAAGAGGTTCTGGGCTTTTGCGTCCTTTAGTCGGTTTGCTCGCCCTGGTGCTCGTCGCATCGAAGCTACCAGCTCCGTTCCTCTGATCACTGTTAGTGCCTTTCTCAACACCGACGGTACTGTCGCGACGCAGGTGCTTAACAATGACACGGTTGCTCACCATGTCCGACTCGTCGTCTCTGGCACAGGCCGAAGTCCTCACAGCTTGAAGCCATTTCTGACGGATAATTCCAATGATTTGACTGCTTTGGAGCACTTGAACGCTGCTGGAAAGGGTTCCTTTCAGACCACAATTCCTCCTCGATCTCTTGTGAGCTTCATCACGGATTCCTAAGCGTGGGATATATATAGGTTAGAGAAGGCAACTATTAGGACTACTTTGATCTTAGTAACATATACTCTTTAAATGCAACTGCCATCCCTGATTGAAAAGCTCCTGTATGGCACTGACTATCTCTTACTGGCTCTGATATTGTGTCCGCTTAGGATCGGCGAAAATTAATCTGTGCTATAAGTCGACAAACAGCTTTGCGTTTCCCCTAGAGCTTTAACATATTCCCTAGACTAATTCACCATTTAGCCTAGATAGTATATTAAATATGCTAGTCCAAATATGGATCGAGAATTCACAGAAAATCTATGATAGTATGGAATAAGAGAAAGGATACTAAGATGCTGTAAAGCGAGCTAAGCTATTAGTAGTCAGCAACTTAACTCCATATCACACTATCTATATACATAATACACGAGATATGTATTTATTATATATATTTTAGAGCCTAGAGATATAGGATATAGGACTTATTCTAGCCTAGACTGCCCAGTACGACATCGTGGTGTCTCATGTTGATAATGAACATTATGGAGGTATCTGGAAGCTGCTTATGACGTAAGCAGATGGTGACGGGGCTCCCATTGACTGGAGCAATGTAAACCTGTATATCCCAAATTTGGCGCATCCCGGATACAATAAGATTATCAAGGCTTACCAGGAGAGAAAGATGTATTCTGAATCGATGGATGGAATCGAACCCGCAGGTTTTAAGATGCATTTACCACCAAGAGAGGCAATTCAATGGGTGCATCGACGGCTGGATGGAGTCCCGGTGCCTAGTAAAGACCTGGTCGACGTCGCAGCACGCATTGGTACCGCCACCAACACATCAAGTATTATTCTTCAGATTTACGCGCAGAAAATAGATGTGGCGCAAACTGGAAGTGTATTCACTGATGATAGCGCTTCGTACAGGATAAATCCTGCAATTGGTCCACATACTCCCCACCTCGCCATTTACAAGATTCAGCAACACGGGGCTTACAATAGTAGCGTGCATGGCCCTGGACAGAGGAGTTGGGCTATGTAAAGATTTCTAGTTACTTGGATCATTTAAACTAATATATTGAGTGGCAGAGTATTATCTAAATCGCACTAGACATATAATATGGCGACAAAAGGCAGACAAGTTTGGTCGTTTAAAGAGACACGCCTGAAGGATATGCTCGGCGTCTCCTCAGGCTATGATTAGTTAACTAGCTGAAGACTGGTAGATGAACAACGAGAAATCCTACCAAGCCACAATCCAAGCAAAGAAGTCAGATTTCGTCACCTTGTACTCACTATTAGAGAATCCGTCTCAATCTGTGAGATATCAAGTAATAAAGAATGCAGCCCTAATTACGTGCGTTCAGAAGCGCTAATTAAAACTTATAACCCCTTAAAGACGAGATGGGGGGATGATGATGGCATGGAAGTGGACACTACTAGGCTGCCAGGTTTGCCAGGGTCTAATGACATTTAATACGGCATATTATTACCAGTATGACGTAAATTCCATATTTACTATCGATGCTCCTGTTGTGCTTCTCAAGGGTTCTAATCAGCACACTACACCGGAGAAGACAGAACCAGACCTTTCGATTACGTAATCTTCGAGCGTTTTGACGAGAAACAGGCCTACTGACCTCAATCTCTGCCTTTCTTTAATCCAACTTTACCCTAAATACCATTTAATTATATATAATATTATTATCAAAGAAAATGCCCTCCCGCAGCTTAAAACCTCGACTCATGCGTTGATTAATTTGGCTACGGCTAGTATATATCTTCTAACCCTATGCACTATAGTCAACAATCTGGTTGGACTGCTTATTCCGGTTTAGTCGCTCAACGTCATGTTCAGTGTGCCGAAAGCCGAGCCTTATAAATAGCTCAAAGTAAGACCATTCTAGACTTTAACACCTATCGAATCCTGCTTTTTTTTTTTTTCATTTCTCATTCCCATCTTTCCCTTCTTTAATCACACGCTGTTCTACATGCCTATGCTCTTTCACCATGTACTAGGATCACAATGGCCTTCCGTATTTTCCTTATCCTTGCGACGTTTCTGCTCTTCTTAGCGGCTTCTTCTACTACCGCAGAAACTACTAGCGCAACTACCTCCACCGACCCTTCTGCCCTTCCTTCGGATATTTCTTCGCTGCCAGACTGCGGTATAGAGTGTCTCTCGACAGCCGGAAAGGAAATTGGCTGCGCCGGTACTGACCTAGAATGTATATGCTCGCAAAGCGACCCGTTTGCAGACAGTTTCGAGCAATGTCTGAAAAACGAGTGCACTATTAAAATATTCAAAAGTGAGTAAACAATAGAGCTGCGAGGCGCCATCTGACGATATTTGTACCAGACGTTAGGGGCGCGCGCCAACAGATTTGCGATGCAGTGAAAGGTAGTTCTAATTCTGCTGCCTTAGCATCGGCGTCAGCTGTAATTGCGTCCGATACGTCCCAAGAGACTGGGAGCGGTGCCGAGCGCTTGACTCACATGGGTATACTTAGTGCAATTGCTTGGGGAGCCCTGATTATGTAGAAATCCAGGTATTAATTAGGATTTAGAAAATTAGGTAATTTAAAGTACAGCTGTTATTAATAAATTATTTATTAGCATTATTATAATACCTATACCTTGCCTATTTTAATATATTTAGTTAACTTTAAGGTTATCTTAAGGTTTTTATTTTTAAGTATTTTAAATAAGTTTTTAACTTTTAATATTTTATATTCTATATTTTATTTATAAGAAATAACTTAACTATTGAATTATTAAGAAATATAATAACTAATGTATTTAATTTAATACCTTATATAATTTATAAATATAAACCTAATATAAATTAGTTTTTCTATATAAAACTTTAAATCTTATATATAAGTAATTAATTTTTTTTAAATATATATATAACTTATAATATATTTTATTAAATATATATGTTTAAATTTATACTTATTAATTTTTATTAAAAGATTAATTATAAAATTATTAATAATTAAAATTAAATATTTATAATTAAGTTAATTATTATTAATATTAATATTATAACTTTAGGTCTTTAACTCTAAGTAATTAAACTTATATAAAACTTAATATATTTTCTTTATATCTTTAATTTTAAAACCTTATAATAACGCCTTTATATCTAAGACATTATATTATAAAGGTTTAGTTTTTTTAATACCTTTTTAGCTTATAATTAAATAGCCTTAAGCTACTTCTTATATAACCTATTTAAACAAAGGGCTTTAATAATTTCTAATAATTATTAGTAACGTGGTTGATAAGCGAGCGCTCCAGATAAGCAAGTGCTCCACTTGAATTTACACCTTATAATGTGACGGTGGGTTTTCCAACTATGGTAAACTAAGCCGTGCTAGGTTTATTGTTGGCAGATTGCGTAGGGCGTGGTACTAAGCGTTATCGAAGTGTTACGTCTCTTAATGGTAGATTCAATGCGTGTTAGGCTTGATCAATGTAAAGAAGTTTTATTGGTAGCTGGTGAGCTAAGTCTATGAAAGTGCTAATGAATGTGGTCTATATACTAGAAGTGGCCTTGTGGCTTAATAGAGAATGTGAGTGATCCAAGGGCAGGATCTATGGGGATTGGTCGTGATCCACGGTGATCCCGTCTTGGAGCGTCGTGATCCAAGTGATCTAATGGAAGAGGATCGTTACGGGGAGAAGTGATCCTGGTGTGATTGGTAGAAATTGTGGGGGGCACGTGACGTAGGCGCGGGGGTCGTAACATATAAGCTAATTTTTAAAAGCCTCTTAAAAGTTTAAACTAAGCCTAAAAGAGCTATAGTTTTAATATTATATATTTAACTATATAAAAAAGCTATAGTATTATTAAGATAATTTTAGCTAATTTATTATATAAATTATAATTAAAAAGGCTTATTTATACTATTTATACTATATAAATAAGCTTTACTATATAAAATAAAATAGCTAAAAATCTAAAAAAATTATTTATATATATATAGGCTTAAATAGTATTTTTTAAAAGTTTTTTAGATTTTTAACTATTTTATTTAAGGTAGCTAGGTGCTATAGGGTAGGCTATTTTTAGCTATACAGGGCGCTGGAGCGCTCGCTTGTCTGGAGCGCTCGCTTATCAACTATGTTATTTTTAAATTAATTTTAATAGTTAAATCTTAGAAATTACTTATAAAATCCCATAATATATAATAATTATATAATAATTAAGGTTTTTAAAAAATGAAATTAAATTATATTAGGGTTATATTTGTTAATATTATAAAGTTTTAAACTGAGTAAATATAAATTCTTATATTCTTTACTACCTAAAAAACAACCCCCCTATATCTGGCCCTTTTATATATATCTTAGGGTTTTATACCTAACTATGCTTACTTAGCTAGCCCCCCTTCCGAGCCAATAAGTATATCTTATATTAAAAGTAATTAAAATCCCCTAACTTACTTTTCCCTGCTTTAAAATTTTTTTAACTATCTTATTCCAGCCTTATTTTTAGGGTCCGTAGGTTAAGTGGAGCTGATAAAACCAGGCAAGTTTTGGGCCCAACTTATCAGACATTGCATTTTGGCTAAACGCGTGATGCTTTCTTTCTCTGGACTGTGATTAAGAATTTTCCCTCATGCCTTACGTCACTTAGGGACATTTCCCTGCTAAACTCTAACTGATACGTGCTCCGCGACGTCACATCATCAGTATTCCATCTAATTTTCGAGATTGTCCCATTCCGAATACAGAAATGCTTTGCTTAGTTGTGATTGGCTCAGGTTAGCGAGCGCGCTATAACCAGACAGGTAATGCTGTCAATGTCTCTCATTTGCCAGCATCTTCAGCTCGCTCCATTCTCGGGACTTGTTTTTAAGCGAACTGATATATCTGTATGGCGCAGCAAAATCCCAGTAAGATAAAGGAAATCCATGTAAACTTTCCACAAACCAGAGAAGCTCTGCGGCCTTAGGTACTTCGGCTTTCGGTTAGCTCGGTATGTAGTAGGATAAATTGCCGCTTATGCCAAGATCCAGGGTTCCGGGTTTCGAGAACATATCAGTTTCCATTAGGTGAGAGTATAAGAGACGGGCATCCACCCGCAAGCCAGGAGAAGGATGCCTTCTAGTCGGTTGTCTTCCTCGATTTCATCTACTACACTTTCTTGTTATATTAATTCAATCTTAATCATTTTTGTACAAAATTCAGCCTCTTGTCATGGCATTTTCAACAATGTTGGATGAGCCATCTACAATTCTCCACCATGAGGTCACTTATCCCCTCTTGTCGCCTTGCGAGACTGTAGTCGACGGCACTACAACACCTTCAGATATTATATATGGGGTACCTAATCTTCCTACATATTAGTACATGAATCCTATGCTGACCGCGCCTTAGAATCTTGGAGACGTGAATTTTCAGAACCTTCATCTCAGCAGAGTGATAACTTCAACTAGCGGGTTAATTGCTAGTCCGACAATGGCTCCCTCATTGGACAACTACACAACACGAATCGGCCTGGACGGCTGCCCCATCCCTACAGTCGGGAGTGCAAAGAGCGTACGAATGAAGTGTTCTCAGAACAAAAGCATTGACGAACTGATCTGTATTACAGAGGCGTCGGTTGAAAAATCGAGAATCGCAACGTCGCTTTCGTGAGCGCAAGGACCAATTACAGAAGGCTCTCCAGCAACAGTTGGATCATTCTCGCACAGAATATGAAGCACTCCTTTGCAAATACACCGAAAGCACAACCGAAGCCGCTCTTCTCCTTCAAGAGAATGATTCACTTCGGTCAGAGATCAAGGATCTCCGGCGACATCGACAACTAATGTTGAGCGTCATGAAGTCGCTCCAAGGCTCAAAGCCGTTATCCGAGTTTGGAGATAGTGGAGTGCTATTGGGTGATGTGATACACTACCTTGCGGATGTATCAGATGATCCGACAACACCCGACACAAACTGAGTTTATCGCCTACGACATTGTTGGTGTAGGTGGCCTTTGACGACGGTCTCTGGCATCCTCTCCTCGAATCTCATCGTTGTGTCATATTATAGACTAGAAGACCAATGATAATAATGTTTTAGATATTTTTTTCAGGTTCCCATATCTTTATGGTACTGATTTATGGCTATGGAAATGAGGGGTTTTGGCCCCACCACTCTACCAGATGGCGAAAGAGGGGTCTAGAATCTCCACTCATAGAGATTGAACGACATCACATCAGATGCCGCCACGACGTGGAGAGAGCCAGGAGAAACGTCTCATCTTCGTCGGAGGCCCGGCGCTGGTAGACAGGTCAGGGCCGATTCGGTCCAGCCTTCTTCAGCAAGCACATCGCCAAAGGAAATCCCAGCAGAGGCAGAATGCGGCAACAGAGCGAGAACTTCTCCTTAGGCAGAGGAGGGATATATGTGCATGCAGCGACAAAGCCTCACTTCCTACATTGCCAACCCTGGGAGTCTCGGGCGATACACGTTATCAGCCTATTAGGCCAAAGGGGTACGCGACCCCTGACACAGGACAAGGCCTTTTGTGTTCTGTCAGCGGGAAACCCTCAGCTTCGCCAGGCCAAATTGTCCCCTTGCAAGCATGGGATGTAGGGGCGGGGGCTTTCGATCCAATGATTCCACTGGACGAGACTACCTCTCAATTGAAAGTCCAGGAGATTCTGCATTTTGCATGCACTTCTATCTGGCCAAACTTCCGCCCCATGACCTATGCGTCCAAATGCTATCAATCCTGGGTATTCCCATGTGACAACAAAGTACGCCTGTACGCGGTTCTATGGGCAGCTTCCTACCATCGCTCCGTCCTCAACGTGACCTATGGCGGTCCGACCTACCAAGCTGAATCAAAAGAGCAACTCATTTTGAAAGGGTTGACTCTGAAATCCCTGCGGAATGAAGTTGAAGCATTTACCGGATCAAAACCTCTCGATAGTATTATCATGTGTATCCTCTACTTGGCGGTTAACGAAACAACCGATGCACGGATATATCGCGACCCCAGTCCTTTCAACCCTCCATTTACCTACCTCCACGCCCTGGATATTTATGGCAGTCGAGATTACCACCCAATTCATTGGACAATTATACAAAATCTACTTGCTCGACATGGTGGAGTGGAAGCTCTTCAAGATCATGCGCTTGCTTGGCTTCTTTCATTATCTGACATCATGGGTGCTCTAAACACGCTGCAGAGGCCAATATATCCCTGTCTGGATATCCATGGGAAGAGAATGGTCTTGGAATCTCCTCTGATTCTGTTTAGACCTTATGCCTCGCATTTTGCTCTGGAAAGCGCCGGATCTGGTTTCGAAGAACTACTTTCTATAAACCCCCCTGTGCATCGGGGAATTGTGGCAGCTTTTTCACAGATCGGAGAGCTATCGCGTGTGCTACAATACTACACGATGGAGCCATTTAGTCCAGAGGTCCTTGACCTTCTCGGTGATTGTCGAAACTATGTTCACCACAACTTGTTCTCTTCACCCGACACTAGCTCCGCTGCGGAGGAAATTTTGCAACTTTCTGACCAAGGACCCGACGCAATCGCGTTGTCGCGAGAGATCTATCTGACTTGCCGGCTTGCATTGTTCCTATATGCAACGCATGTTACCTTCCCACTTCCAAGGTCGGCTACTATCAGAAGACAGCTTCTACAGCAATTGTGTAACAAAATTGAGTTTCTGGCAGAGAGAAGCACAGCTAGACGGTTGCTACTATGGTGTGTTAGTGTTGTCCTTGTCGCCTCGGACATAGAGCCAGAGAAGGCGATAGTCGATCTGTTTAAGATGTTGTGCTATGAGTTGGAACTCACAGACTTGAACGGTTTGCTGATGTTACTTCGAGAGTTTGCATTGGTGGATAAAGCAATCGACCACCATTATGAGAGGTTGGATGTTATATTAACCATGGATCAATAAAATATACTGTAGCTTTACTATACCATTAATATTTAATGCCTTATCGTGGACTGGTTGCATGACAGAAACAACGACTTCGTGCGTTAGTCTGCCAATCTCAGTATCCTCCCGCTGAAATATCTGCCATTGGTTTGAACTCGACCTTGGTAGGCTGGTCTGTTATCCCTCTTCTAAGTGCCTCTTCTATGATCGCCACTATAGCCGTAGCGCTGATGCAGGTTATACCTAGTAATGTAATACATAATAAAGTATTAAGGATATAAATATTACTAGTAGCATTAATCTAAACTTTATTATCTAATTCTTATTAAATAAGTTTTAAATAAAGTATTATAACTCCTTGATAGGAGTATATCCTATTAGCCTGCTTTATAAATTTATACGTAGTTAAAGTTTTAACCAAAGCTATTTTAATATCTAAGTAAACCTTTTAAAGGCAAGTAATATACTCTTTCTTAAGGTATTTATTCTCAAAGATAACTTTTAAGATTGCACTATACTAAATAACTGTATTACTAACTTAATATATCCTATTGGTAATGTAGTCCTGGTTATTTCTAAGTAGTTTACTAATATTAATAGTTATATTAATCTTATAACCTCTGGCAGCGGCAGCAGTATTAGCTTCGAAGACCTTAATGGTCATAGTGCTATTATTATATAAAGACTTATAACAGGGCAAACTACGATGTTAGTGCCTAATAACTCTTTCTTAATTATAGGAATTCCATATAGCTTTATCTATGCTATAGTAATATTATACTTATTTGGTAATATTAATGCCTTAAAGAATATCCGTGTCTATTATAATAGGGTGTAGTATAGAGTAATTAATTATCTTAGCAATTTATCGCAGGGTTACTGTGATCTGATTTGTGTTAGCAGATATAATAATGTAAATGGTACTTATATAAGTGGGGTAATGATGAGGAAGTGTTTGCAAGGAGAATAATAGGTAAGAGGAATGCATCTTCGAGAAGGTATAATTATTAGCGTTCTATTTCATCTATATAAGTAAGCTCTCTAAGTATCATGGCAAGAGCATCGATCTATTTGAATAAGTGGAATGATCGGGCTTGCCTAAATAGGTATCTCCGTTCTCCCTGACTGTTGTTGTAAAGGGGTTTGCCAGTGGGGCTATTGTTAGAAGATGTGTTACGGAAATTATAATACCAGATGCTTTAGCACTAAGGGATAACATTATTTAGATTAAGCGAGCTTCCTTTGAAAACAGTATTACGATATAATTTAAAGCAGCCCTAAATACTCAAGTCTCTTAATACTATCCTAGAATAAAATCTATACAGTCTGACTCACCTGCTAACTAAACTAACTTCAAAACCCTCCTGGCGCCCTTCTTATAGGCAATGCCATTTTCCCACTTAATCCAGACAGGGTTATCTGCCTCATGACCATTCATGATTGACTCTGAAATTGAGATAACCTCATAGAGGGAGGATGGAAAATTTCCATTGTCCGGACTTAGTGGGCTTGCAGGATGAAAGCATCCCGACCGACTCTCCAAATTGTCCCACCGGAACGACCGTCACACTTACTCCTGGGAGAGCTTGTCCCCAGAGAAATGACCTGAAAGGCTGTGCAAATAAAACATGAGAACTGAAACATCTTGAAACCAGTGGGACCTTTACGACCTCCTCTTTATCACGGTCTGGCCTGGGTACAGGGCCTGCTGTTGTAGATGCCTGCTCGACATCAATCTTTAGGATGGGCTGTGGTGTTTTCTCGTATTTTTGAGACGATATAGACTCCCAATGTTTTTGGTTGGCTGCGCTGTACTTCCACTGGGCAAGTGGCCGCGGATTTTGGCGAGCATTGTCTGCAAATATTGTCTTCCCTGCCCAGGCTGTCCAAGCCCAAGTTAGTAGTAAGGCGTTCGAGGTGCCCGACTTTCGACTCAATCTTCTTTCCAAGGAAGACGTGTTGTAAGACAACAACACGGCGTCGAACAACCTTGGAAAGCCGCATATAAACCCACCAACGAATTATGTGCTGAGGATACTAAGGATTCCACAGAATATAACCAAGATAAAGATATTATAAAAGATATAGAAAGATCAGGTATAGTAAATAAATATATTAAACAGTTATTATAATATCTAAAGGGGAGTTTAATAACTAATTTAAGTTAATTCTATAATTTAGTATATCTTTTTAATAATTTTAATTAAAGAGGATTAAAATTATATATACTTATTCAATATAATTATATACTTATTATATATATTAAATACTAAAAAGTATACCTTATTAGTTAGTTTATTATAAATAGCTTATCATCCTTATAATACCAGAATTTAATACTTAATTGCTATCAGCTAAATTTCAATATATAGGGCCTGATATGCTAAACGTACTTGAAGTAAAAGTAAGTGCCTGGTCTTGGAAAAACTTTGTTAATCTACCGAGTACTGCGAGTTCGAACTTCAACTTTATGCTGTATGCAAAGTATTTAAGGACATTTTGAAGGATTCGAAAGCCTGCATATTGGACGCCTAGAAGAACGAAGTCCATGATGACAAGAACCACATTCATAATGATGAGTTCTGCCATCAATCGTTGCTTCCTTTCTTCCGATGTGTATTTCAGGATCTTAGCCGTTCCCCAGATGTAGAGCCCGGATATGATCAACTCTTGGACGCAGAATATGGTGATTTGGATGGGCTCCATAATCTTATATCCGCGTTCAACTGCCCTCGGGACTGGGACAATGTTATAGCAGAATGCTAAGGCTGTCGTGGGAATGAGAAGGACGACCGCGTTGATGATAATCATTATCAGAACACTGCGAAGGATAAAGGGGTTCTGGAGGACAAGATGAAGTCTTGACCACAAGACGAGCGATTGCCCAACGATGAAGGCCCACCACCCGGCAATTGTAACAGCGCTTTGAAGGTACGCGTGTGGGGTTATTTTAAAGAAATAGGTCAAGAAGCCAATGGTGGCGACGATTAGGCCAAGGCTTGCGACTAAAAGGCTCCAGAAATACCACCCGGAGAATCTCTTGAAGGTGATGAAAATTAAAATAATGATTTCCAAGGCATTGTAGAGGGTGATTGCTATACAGCCAGCGAAAAAGAATGCCACTGATGGGCTGCTCTCGCTCGCTTGGCCAAAAGTCAACATGATTTGATGCCAAGGAAGGTTGTACAATCACTGGAGTGGTGATGGATGAATCCTTGGCTATGGAAATGTTGCAATAGAAGACTTGAATTTAATAAATGCCGGGCCCATAAGCACTACCTAATTTCATGACTTTGTATGGTATACTAATTCAAGCCTCGCGGGCATGATGACGTTTATGAAACCGACCGCTAATATGCTTCTCGCGAGGTTGGCTATTAATGTCAGTAAATCTCTTTCTCATTGGTCATATGGCGGGTAACTAAGAAAGTATTCTCACGTCGTTAGACCGATCAATGAAGGCGCGTGAGAAATATAATGCAGCATACTAAAAGTTCTCAATATCTTAAAGCAAATGCTGACGAGTCATGCACTATTCTATGCCGACTTTTTTCCCCTTAGTAACCTAAATTACATCTGCGGCAGATAGTAGAAATGGTTAACATCTCCATCTTCTTATGGGCGATTATGCAACATATAAATCAATTTGACCTATACGACCAAGTGCGATAATAGTCGAAGTCCAGCAACTTGGGCTCAGATTGCGCTGTTGCATTCTCAACATCTACCTACTAGTGAGAGCGGGGTAAGCACCCACCCAAACTAAAGCTGCCGCCGTCCTGAGCGACGCGATTCAGTAATGGTGACTAAGGGCGCTCCCTATCTAACCCGGCTCGTGGAATCCAAGCAATATCATGACTCGGCTGTCGTTTCTGGGGTGCAGCGTTCTCATTAATGCCGAGATCCTCAGATCATATTTCACAGCCACACCCCACCCTCCGAACAATCACGAGGACCCTTCGCGGATACTCGCTAATGTCAGTAACAGCCGATACAGATATATTCGAGATGCCCGCGCTAGAGCAATTTTGCACACAGTTGTGGCTGTCACATCATGTCGCAACACACAGTAGTGGAAACAGGAGTTTCCAAAGGTAATGTCAGATCGCTCTCCATATGGAAAGTACGAAAACTGGACGGAGTGCCAGAAACTTGATCCCTATGTTGGCCACTCCCAGGGCGTTAAGGATGTTCTCATTCATGGGGTTGCTCCCGTTTGAAAGGCTTGGGCTGAGTAACAATAGATCCAGATCCACATCTGGGTGACAACCGATAACTATATAAGATGGAGTCTAGGTCGTTAACATGTCAACTCCCTGGCTAAGGTCTCTGAGGTTGTTCAAGACGGAAAAGACATTGATATTCGGGAGGCTTCTGATCCAGGAAAAGCTCATTGCCTGGCTGCATAAGCGTCAGTGGCTGCATTCTATAGGTTTACTGACTCTTTTCTAGGGCATATGACTCGAGGCCTGCAGAGGAGCCAAGAAGGCTGCGCACTGGAGTGAGTAGCTGCATGGGATCGATTGTTACAGAGGCAAGTCCCTCCATATCATAGGGCATTCAGAACATGCTGTTGCTGACTGGGCGAACGCAGTCACTTTGAATAACCAGCGCCCTGGCTGGGTCATGGGTATTTGTTCGAACTACGACCCAATGTTTTGGGACAGGACGAAACTGAAAATGAATGTGAGCCATATTCTAGATATTATTAGCTTCCGCTAGCCTCCTCGAAAGTTTAGGTCCCCTGAACTGGTCGGATTAGGGACATCCCATTTAAACCCCTTCCTTATCAGCTTATCTGCATCAATAGAATTATTGGATGACGGGGTAATACCAGCACGAAAGGCTTTCAGCATCAACCAAGAGGGGTAGACACCTTGCGCATACTTACCCCTTTGAGCAGTACAGCCCGTCAGCGGGGTCACGACAGGGGTGTAGGACTAATCAAAATGAATAAAACTAACGGTACTTCTCCTTAATGCTAATTTGTATAATGGTAAAAGTACCAGCAGTTCTGATTGTTACAAAGAGCTACCTTACAAACTTGGCAAACATCTTACGAACTTCCGGTATCCTTCACGTAATAACATTATGACTAAGCAAAACGGGGCGAGTGACCTTCTTAAGGGCTATCCCACTCAAAGGGATAGGCTGTCCTCTTAGCGCGAAGCTTATTAAGCCTGCTGGTAATTGCTTATTAATGAAATATGCATTTATACGGCAATCAAGCTTCGGTTTATTTATAATATCAAGGGTTAGGGTTAGACTAACCTAAGATGCGTCAGGGTCTCTTCCTTGCCTTATTTTTTATACTCTTCTTTTATTACTTCCACTTCTTACCTAGGCTCAGCTATATTATTACGACCCCAATGGTTATATCACGTGTACCCCGCATTTTCCTCTAATCACGCACATGCCCCATAAAACAGATCAGTGCCAAGACTCTATAATTATAAATAATCCATTATAATTAGTATTAATCTACTATGATTACCACTAATCCCGCGATAACCTCGCTAATTACTATTATTATTTACTAGTATATAGACCACATTTATTAGCACTCTTATAGACTTAGCTTACCAGCTATTAATAAGACTTCTTTATATTAATAAGCCTAATATATATTACTTAATTATTAAGAGATATAATAACTAACCTGCTTAGTATTAATGCCTTATACTATTTATAAATATAAACCTAGTATAGATTAGTTTCCCTGTTTAAAACTACCTTTATTATATATTAATAGCTCTTATTTAGAATATATTATATTAATAACTAAGTAATATTATACTATTAAGATAACTAGTAATACCAGCCTAGCACCTCCTTATATAGGACTACCTCCTAGTGCCATAGAAATAATAGCCGAGCTCTAGCAGCTCTGCACTACCGTTAACACCCTGCAAGCCTAGGTAAATAAACGTCCTACTAAAACCGCTAGCAGAGGCAGTAATAAATAAGACTTAGGTAAAGTACTTAAACCCCCTAAGCCGGAACCCTTTAGAGGATAGGCAGCTAATATAATTCTATTCCTAACTTAAATAAAGGCTTACTTCTGCCTCTATAAGAATAAGCTAAATACCCTTATAAAGAAACTCCTATATACTGCAAATTTAATCTAGGGAGATATAAAAGACTAGTTTAAACTAATCCTAAGAGACTTCCTTAAAAATAAAGAAAAAAAATAAGAATAAGATACTTAGAATATCTTTAGGAACTAGGATAATTTTAAATAAACCCTTAAAGATAATTTTAGTATAATTAATAAAGAATAATAAGCCGCAGCAGAGCTACTTATGCTTAAGTAGTATAAGTCCTATATAATATACTCTGCTAAGTTTAGGCAGCTTATATCTAAGACTAAATAGGATAATAAAGCCCTAATAGAAATCTATTACAGAGGATTAAAAGAAGAAGTTAAGGATAAACTATACCTAGCCGATAGGCCTAAAGAAGGCTTAACTGCATATATTACTATAGCAGTTAAAATCAATAAATAATAATATAAATATAGAAGAGAGAAAGCAAACTATAAATAGGGTAATAACTTTAACCTATATTACCTAAATTAGCAATAAAATAATAACTACTAGGGTAACTCTTAAAACCAAGGATAACAATAAAGTAATCAAATAAATAATACCTTATATAAAATATAATCAAGACCTATATTACTTAGAGCCACCTAACCTAGCAATAATAATAGGCAGTAAGATATATCTAGGACTAAATATTATAATTATAACTAATTTAGATATATAGTATATAGGTGCCCCTAACTAAGAAGGGCTAGGGACCTGAACTAAGGTAAGTAAACCCTAGGACTAATTAAATAGCAGGACCCTTAAATAGCTATTTATACTTAAATACTAGGAATAACCTAAAGCGGTTATAAAATAGTTCTTAATTACCTAATTAAGTTTATAGAACTAGATCCTAAGTCCTAACCGAGAAGATAACTTAGGGTATTAACTAAAGAAGAGAGATAATAATAAAGAATTAAAAGGAATAAAGTAAACTAATAATACTATTATAAATATATACAGGATCTAGAGAGGAAGGTATCCGAATAATAGAAGTAATAAGAGAGGAGATAAAAAAAGAAGAATACTAAAAAAGAGGCTCTTAGAGAACCCTAAATACTTAGAGTTATTAGAAGCAGATATAAAACCACTAGCCTAAAGGAAATAAAAAAACCAAAATAAGGCCTATACCCAGATAGCTTAATTAAGGAACCATAGGATCCATTCCCTACCTATAAAGAAGCCATAGAAAGAGGCGCTATAACCAAAGGCAAAGAAAAATACGCCAAGGATATAAGAAGTATTAAATTTAAAAAATACTAAGCGGCCTACTACTAATTAAAGAAAGATAGATAAGAGAATAACCTTATATACTAAGCTAAGGAAAATACTTAATACTAAGAAAACTATAAGAAATAAAAACTCAGAGAACCTTAGATCCTTAGAGTTATCAGAGAAGGAAAAATAATTACCCCTAATATAGATAAGTAAGCCTAGTTATCCCAAATAATAGATAATATCCCTATTAGAACTAGACTCTAGGATAAGAAAGAAATATAAAAAAAAGAAGTCAAAGCCAGAAATAATATTTAATAGAAATAATACTAAAACTCCTAATTAATAGGATATAAAGGAAAAGCAGTACAAATAACTATATAATATTTTTATTCTAAAGATAAATAAATTATAAAAAAATAGATAAAAGAATACTAACTAGAATATAATAAGTTCAGAGTAAGGATATATAGGATATAAGAAGACTTTTATATATAGGGAGCCAGGGAATATAAAGATACTAAAGAAGGAAATAAAATCTATATTAGAATATACTATATAAATAACATGCTTAACCCCTTATACAAAGAACCTACTTTTAATACTAAAAACAATATATAAACTATGCCAATATACCCCTAATATAATAAGATATCTTAGGCATTATGCAGGAATTATTAGTGTAAAAAACATAAATAAGAAAAGTTAAATAATAATTATTTCCTAGTAGTAATACCTAGCATACTAAGTAATAAACCTTACCTAAAATATAAAATAGAAGGATACCTTATATATATATAGTATAATAACCTTAGAGTGGCAGAATTATAATTTAGTATGCCCTACTACCAATAAATC